TGAAACATTGTTTGTGATGATGAATGCCACACCATTCCCCTTCAATTTGTCATTCCCAGTATAGTAGATCATATGGTTGTCTGATTCAGAACAGCCAAAACTAGTCCATTTCAGCTCAGTAATGCCTAGGATATCAGTCTTTATGCGTTCCATTTCATTTTTGACAGCTTCCAATTTTCCTCAATTCATACTTCGTACATTCCATGTTCTGATTATTAGTGGATGTTTGCAGCTGTTTCTTCTCATTTTGAGTCATGCCACACCAGCAAATGGAGGTCCCAAAAGCTTTACTCCATCCCTGTCATTAAGGTTAGCTCTACTCTGAGGAGGAGCTCTTCCCAGTCATATCTTGAGTGCCCTTCAACCTGAGAGGCTCATCTTCCAGCACTATATTGGACAATGTTTTAAGGCTATTCATAAAGTTTTCCAGCAATATATCAGACAGTGTCTCACTGCTATTCATTATGTTTCCACTGGCCAATTCTTTGAGAAGTGGATGGCTTCTTCCTTCTTCTGTCTTATTCTGGAAACTCCGCTGGAACCTGCCCACTATGAGTAACCCTGCTGGCGTTTGAAACACCGGTGCCAAATCTGCTGCAGGAGACCTCTTTAAAGTGCTAAAAAGTAAAGATGTCACGTTCAGGATTAATGTGTGCCTGACCCAAGCCAGGGTATTTTCAATCACCACACATGCATGTGAAAGCTGACTAATAATAAGGAAAATTGAAAAAGAATCGATATATTTGAATTATGGTGTTGCCAAAGAATATTAAATACACCACAGACTTCCAGAAGAATGAATAAATCTGTCTTGGAGAAGTACAGCCAGATGCTCTTTAGAAGCGAGGATGATGAGACTTTGTCTCACATACTTTGGACATGTTATCAGGAAAAAAATAGTCTCTGGAGAAGGACACTATGCTTGGTAAAATAGAGGGTCAGTGAAAAAGAGGAAGTCCCTCAATGAGATTGAGTGACACAGGCTGCAGTGATGGGCTCAAACATAGCAGTGATTGTGAAGATGCTTCAGGACTGGACAGTGGTTCCTTCTATGGTACATAGGGTCGTTTGATTTGGAACCAATGTAATGGCACCTAACCACAGCAATATGCAGTTCTCACATTTAGCCATTGGGAGCTGCCTTATCCTTTTAGCATTATTTCTGACATTCTTGGAAGCATCTTTATCCTGAATTTTTCCTGCCCTTAGAAATGAAATCAGTTCCCTACTAGGAATTAGAGGTTAAACTGTGGGCAGTGGGTGTGCTCATGTGAGTTGAATATGTGCAAAAGTGCTGTTGCTGGTGTCAAGACACTTACGTATTATTTAAGATTCTAAATTCACACAGATAATTTCTATGTCCTAAGTCTATGGCTGTCTTTTGGACACCAAGTACTGGGAGGGATGATTGGTGAAAAATCTAAATTCTCTTTTCTATTCCTACAGTTGCAAGGATTGCTGTTCACAAGGTCCCAGAATTAGGCCAGTGTTTTTGCATTTTATAGGGCCTATCAAAAATTGTTCCAATGATATAATTTCCCCTGGAAAACTTTGTCCATAATAGCCTTCATTGTCTAAATGGTTTCCTGAAGCCTAGCCAACTTTGAGATGTTATCCTCGTCATTGATGAATATTTATTAAACATCTCTGGATACACCATTAAGAGATGTTTTGCTCCTTCAAACTGAGACTTCTCCCTACTTGTAAACAGCAACAAAATTATCCTGGAATGAAAATAGTAACCTTTATAGCCATATATTTATTTGCCAGAGAGTTATATACATTCTTTCATTTAATTTTCACGTAAAGACCATATGAGGTAGGTTCTGTTATTTTTCATATTTTCAGATGAGGAAACTAAGGCTTAGAGAGTTTAATTAACTTGTCTGAGGTAATACACTTGCTAGTTGCTGTCAAGTCAGTTCTGACTCATGACAAACTTACGTACAGCAGAACCAAACGTATTTGGATCCTGTGCCATCTTTGGGAGCTCTGGTGGCGTAGTGCTTAAGGCAATTGGCTGCTAACCAGAGGCTGGCAGTTCAAACCCACCAGCTGCTCCTTGGAAGGAAGGTTGGGCAATCTACTTCCGTAGTGATACCACTTTGGAAACCCAAGGGAGGTTTGCTATGAGTCAGACCCCACTTGACAGGAGTGACTTTGGTTTTGTGTGTGTGCCATCTTCACAATTGTTGGTCTGTTTGAGTTTGTTGCTGCTTGTGGCTGTTGTGTCAGTCCATCTCATTGAGCGTTTCCCTTGTTTTTACTGACCCTCTGCCAAACATTATTAGTGAACGGTCTTTCTTGATGATACATCTAAAGTAAGTGAACCCAAGTCTCACCGTCTTCTCTTCTAAGGAGCAATCTGGCTGTGTTTCTCCTGTGACTGATTTGTTTGTTCTTCTGTCCACAGTATTCAGTATTTAGTATTCAGTATTCATCACCAACACCAAAATTCGAATGCAGTTATACTTAGTAAGTCAAAAAGCCAAGATTCAAATCTGTATCTGATTCTAGAAAGTGGTTCTTAACTTGGGCTGCACATTAAAATCTCTTAGAAGCTTTAAAAAAATGCCAATGCCTGATTCTTACCTTCAAAGATTCTGATTTAATTGATCTGGGGTGGGGCCTAGTGTCTGTGATTCCAGGTAAATTTAATGTACTATCATGATTCAGTGCGTGAGAGCTATGCTGTCCAGTACAGTAGCCACTACCATATATGGCTATTTGAATTTTAGTTGAAGTTAAGTAAAATAAAAAACTAGTTCCTCAGTCACAGTAGCCACATTTCAAGTGCTCCATACCCACATGTGGCTAGTGGCTACCATACTGGATGGTTGGCTCCTGTGTCCCTGTCCCCCTATGATTTTGCAGGGGTGGGCAGGCTTGTTTGCCCCAGGTCTGTTTGAGATGGGTTGTCTTTTTTCTTTTGTATTGTTATTTTTATTATTTTAAATTTAAGCCTGATAACTCACACAGTCATTATCCACCCCTCCCCTCATTCTTCAGCAGCCCAATTAATAGCAAATCAGTACATCCATCGGTGTTTTTATTGTTATTTTAGCACTTCCTTAGTTTCTGGCACTACAAGATGCCCTAAGCTTATGTTGTATATTTTCTGCCTCCATCCAATAACCTGCCATTTCTCCAAGGAACCCTGGAAAACAGGATTAGAAACCAAGATCTGGATGATAAGTGGCTCATTGTTATTGGAGTGTCATTAATTTTAGGGCTTGTCAGCTGACACAGGAAAGAAAATATCTATGTATATATTCACTTATCTGTAAATATTTCTATATGTTATCATTGTAACTATATAAAGCTACACAAGCATTCTTACTGATGTCTCTAACTCTAGTCTATTACTAGGTAGATCATTGTAGCTTCTTCTCCTTGCTTATCAATTATTAATTTTTTATTATTAGCATTATTGATTTGTATGTTTTATAAATTCATTTCCTGGAGTTAGATCATTCTTACAATCTTGGGGAAAATCATACTCAGATGTAGGAATCAGAATTCATATTACATAAAAGAACTGGATTAACTACTAGGTTTTAGCTGCAATATTTATTGAAAAGTAGTCCAAGTGATATATGGGGACTTTTGTAACACTTATAAGGATTATTTTTATATTTGATTTAGTAATGGTATTACTTTTATTCTCAGTGCCTCTCCTGCAAATTTTTAAAAAGTTATTATCATTATGTGCTCAGTAACCACAACAGTAATTTTAAAGCTAATAGGATTATTTCCATCTGATAAAATAATTCTTTTTTTGTTTTTATATTTTCAAGATTTTATAAGAAAACGTACTTTTAACAATACATTGCAGATTTAAATGTCATTTAAAACTCAAAAATGATCGATATTATACCAACCAACCAACCAACCCATTGCCATCAAGTCAGATCCAACTCATAGCAACCCCTCCTTGGGTTTCCCAGGTGGTATCACTATGGAAGTAGATTGCACAAACTTCCTTCCGAAGCGTGGCTGGTAGGTTTGAACTGCCAGCATTCTGGTTAGCAGTCAAGTGCTCTAGGCACTATGCCATCAGAGTTCCCGATAAACATTGTAACAACTTGTTTATAAATATCCTTAAATAGCCTTCTTATGGAAAAATGGCATATTTTTTTTTAAAACTATAATTCTTTGATAAAATAACTAATGGAGTATAATAGAGGAAACATTGGGACTGCTGAATTACAGCAATAATTGAATTCATACAGCTAGTTAATATTAACTCTGGGATTACACATTGAAACCTTGCCAAGTTCTTTTCTACCTTGGAATTTTCTATTTCAGTTAATCACATAAACGTTAGCATTAGAATATAAATTCAAGCATCATTTGTGGCAACAACTTCTAGTTCCGAGAGATAGTTTGTAGTTTTATACACTGAAAGAGGTAGGAAGGCCGAGGGTGTTTTGGAGTGACGAGCTAAGTGAAGATGGCCAGGACTCATTTGAAAAGGCCCTCCTATGCTGCGGGTTGGCTTTTGGCCAAGGTCCTCAGTGACCCGAATACAGGTGAGATGGGCTTGCATATGATGTTTGCTCTTCTTGCCACATAAGGTAGATCACTGTTTGCTTTTCCATGTAGAACAATAGCAAGACTGGAAACTTTCTGTGAACACATTTTAATAAACTGGTTGGTAATGACCAGAAGACGGGCCAGATAATAGGGCACTTGGTGCATCTATGTTAGGAGAATCTCATGAAGCTTTAGGCAGTTCTCTAGACTTCCAGGATCTCATATCATTTTCCCATCTTTTCATAGCCTACCATAGTCCATTGCTTGTAGTGTGTGTTGAATAATTGTTGAATTAAAATTTCTCAGCAACTTGATAATAGATTATGTCTAAAATTTGGGAAGAATCTGTGAAGAAGAGGGAGGACCTCTAAAGAAACAGAAGTAAGGTTAAGTGCCTTACGAAACTCTGTTTTTCTACTGCATAGATTATTTTAAAGTGTTCTTTTAAACCTTCTGACTTCTAGGAAGCTTGTGTGTATGTTACAGCCCGAAGTTTGACTCTTCAGAACAGATCACATACTCAGTATTTTACTTTCATAAAGGTACTTTTCATTTGTTCTTATTTCTTGCTTAGTTTTATATAATCACTTTTTAAAGTCAGTAGCATATTAGAAGATAGATTTTAAAGTCTTATTTCTTTGCAATAAATTTTATCAGTCCATTCCATGCCTCCCATCGCTGTAAGTACAGATATTTTGATAATACATGTTTCTTAGAGAAATTAGTATTGTTGAATATTAAGTGAGCTAAAGTATTTTATCTACTATATTTTTTAATCCTGGCCTACTTTGTTTTCTAAGCCTGTGGACCCATCCTAATGGATATATTTGCATAATCTGTTTGCTTTTTTATTATCACTAATGGTAAACTCTCTATCGATTTAATTCACAAAGTTACATGGGGTTTTAGTTAAAAGCCTCCATAATCTCAGCATACAATTACTCCATTTCACACATTTGTGGCCCAAGAAATTAATATGTTGACAATCAGGCTGGGAGCAAGAATAAATGCCCCATCCTTCCCAGTTCTTTGATCAGTCACAGCTCAACTCTTAGCATTTTTAGTTTGAACCAGTTCCAAAGAGTATTTATTTTGTCTGTTTAGTTCCTTAAAATTAGTATTTGAATGATACATACTATGGATGGAGTTAAAATTTTTAAAAGAAAGATTTTGGTCAACACATCTACTATTTTGCACTTTAACGACATACATCTGACAGAAATGAATACCAAGGTGTGAGACAAGAGTAACACTGGCTGTGATGGTTAAGGTTATGTGTCAGCTTGGGTAGACCATGATTCTCAGTGGTTTTGCAGTTATATAATAATGTAATCAGGGCTTTCAACTGGTTTATTCAGGTTTGACCCCCTGATGAGAATTTGCATGCCTAAGGCACTTGACTGCTAACCAGAAGGCTGGTGGTTCAAATCCACCAGCCACTCCTCGGAAGGAAGGCTGGGCAATCCTACTTCTGTAGTGATACTGCCTCGGAAACCCAAGGAGGGGTCGCTATGAGTCAGGGCTGACTCGATGGCACATAACAACAACAACAACCCCAGATATACTGAATCACAATCTATATTTTAACAAGATCACCAGGTGAGTCTTCTGTATGAGGCTCTTGGTAAAATGTAGATTCTGATTTAATATATCTGTGGTGGAAAGGCAAATTCTCAGCAGCAGGTTGAACCAGCATGAACCAGTTCAAAGCCCTGAATGTAATTTATCAGCTGTGTAATGATGTAGTCATCCTCCATTTTGTGATCTGATGTGGTTATCCTCTATTTTCATATAATGCTGCTTTTCACATAACAATCTGGTCTTTGAAACTTAACCATGTCAATAAGTGAGGAGTGGCTGTATTTAAAAAATTGTATGTCAGCTTACACCAGAGTTTGTTATTCTATATGAGTATCTAATATTATCTTCAGGGATTAGAGATCTAGATTTAAAAAGTTTAAGTAATTTCTCAATAATAGAAAAACCAAAACTAATTTCAGCACTAGATAAAGATATATACATCCTTAATCAGTTTGAGGTTTTGTGAAAATTTTCACACATTTTTCTAATAATAAATCTAATGATTAAAACCAGTAAGTAAAACTCTTCTGAAGATTGAGAGTTGGCAAAGGGGAATGTGAAGCCCAGTAGGCTGAATTTAGTAGATAATCGAATACTTTAGTTACTTTCTAACTAAAAATGGGATTTGTGAGTGACTTGGAGACATCTCAGGTCTTAATGACAACAAATGTGGCAGTTAGCCCTGAGACATGAGGGCTGATGAACCACCTGGTCTTTTCTTTTGGATCCTTAAGTACCTTTATTTGGATCCTGCTGTCCCTGTATAATCCAGCTCTCAAGATTATAAATAAGTTCAAAATAACTACTGGTTGTGACTGTCCTCAATGTTGGCTTTTGGAGAATTTTTGGGAACCATGAAATCTGTAAGTTTGAAGATGCTTGCTTTATCAATTTCACAAAGTATTGAGAGTGTTACAGAGTCATTGCTTTGGGTGGAAGTACCACTGTTTGTTTCTTTATGTCCTTTCCCTTACATCTTGTACTCTTTCTGCAGGGTTCAGCAAAACCTTCACTGCTGCTCTTGGGAGTGCTGACTCACATGTGACAAAGGGAGTTACTTTTCTCAACCTTGGTAGGTAACAGAGGGTCTTGTCTCTTTGTTCTGCCTGTTCCTTACAATATATGCTTATTTCAAGCTTCTATATCTCATTTCTTCTTTGTGCACCCCATTTTCTCATGCCTCTTTGGGACTTGGATTGTGATGACAGTCTGTAACCTTTTTGAAGCTTGATGGGAGGTGGTTTGTCTGGAAAGAAGCCCTTATCACCATTAGACTTTTGGAGGGAACCATCTACCTTTTGTAGAGAACCATATTTATTCAAAGAAAAGCCACTCACTCAAGCTGATCCATACATACTTTCTTTAAGAAACTAAATTATATTACTTTTCTATTGCTACAAATTTAAGATTTGAAACAATGCAAACATACTATAGTTATGGAGGCAAACTTTCTTATGCTTTTGTAGTATGGATCAGCTTGAGTGAGTGGCTTTCTTTGAATAAATATGGTAAAGGGAACCTGAACATATTAAATGAGTCTGTAAAGAGGAAAACAAAGATGGGATTTATTGTACCTCTAACCTCTATACTGAAAGCTTTTTTACCATGCCAGTTGGTATGTTGTTGTTGTTGTTGTTATGTGCCGTCGAGTCGGCCCCAACTCATAGCGACCCCTCCTTGGGTTTCCGAGGCAGTATCACTATGGAAGTAGGATTGCCCAACCTTCCTTCCAAGGAGTGGCTGGTGGGTTTGAACCGCCAGCCTTCTGGTTAGCAGTCAAGTGCCTTAGCCACTATGCTACCAGAGCTCCCGCCAGTTGGTATAAGGGACAAAAACAGTTTGTCATGTGACTAAGTAACAGAACTATTACTTGCTGCATATGGAATATGGCACAACAGTTAAAGAAGGAAACTTCAAATTTAGAGTGCAAGATTCTTGGATAGCTTCCTCCATCATTGTTCCCAGTCCATCTACTATCATATCAAAGGTTTAGGAAGGTGTAATGTGAGGGAACTGGGCAAAGTGAGAACCAAAAATGACAGGAAAGTCTATACAAAGATTGTTATTTTGAACAATACTATTGATGAGGTAAGGGGCCCTGGTGGCACAGTGGTTCAGCTCTCAGCTGCTAACTGAAGGATTGTTGCTTTGAACCCATCCGTCACTCTCTAAGAGAAAGATGTGGCAGTCTGCTTCCACAAAGATTGTTGTTGTTGTTATGTGCCGTCAAGTCGGACCCGACTCATAGCGACCCCTTCTTGAGTTTCCGAGGCAGTATCATTACAGAAGTAGATTGCCCAACCTTCCTTCTGGGGAGTGGCTGGTGGGTTTGAACCTCTAGCCTTCTGGTTAGCAGTCAAGTGCCTTAGACATGATGCTACCAGAGCTCCATAAGGATTACAGTCTTGGAAATCCTATGGGGCAGTTATACTTTGTCTTATAGGGTCTCTATGAGTTGGAATCAACTGGAGAGTGATAGACAGAAGGATTGTGAGGTTAGGTATTTTATGCTAAGTGGGCCTGTATGTGGCAAATTTTAACTTGATCTCTGAACCTGTGGGAAATTGCCTTAGAAAGGCCTGGTTCTATTGCTTCCTGTGATAAGAGAGACAAATATAAAGTTTTGTGGGTCTGGGACCTGATTCTTATCAGCAGTGCTATATCAGCATCCCATCACAAGGGTGATGTAGGAAACTTTCCACTGAAAAACTGAAGCATTTTATGAGGGCAAAATTATCATTCCTTTTTATAATCTCATGGGAATGTATTCTTGAAAAGGGCTGACATGATTTAATCTGTGGTCTTTAGAGTATGGAGAGATTTGTAAAAATAGGCCAGCTTAAATAAGTTGCTTTCCTTCACAAGCACATTTTATTTTATAGGCAAAAATTGTACCCAAGATTAAAACTCTTTTGGAGATAATTTTTATGACAACAGTATTCCTTTTTTGAGTGATACGTTTCTTGGTATTAATTATGTATGATTTCCCTGATTGTAACCCGGTCGGGGGGAAAAATACTCAATGCCATCCAGTTGATCAACTTATAGTGACCCCATCTTGGGTTTCGAAGGTGGTATCTCTGCAGAAGTAGATTGCCCAATCTTCCTTCTGAGGAGTGGCTGGTGGGTGACTGAAAATATTAAAAATATAAAATATAAAAATTAAATATATTAAATACAAAAAATATAAATATGTTAAAAAATAGAGTTTTGGGAAGTTTTCCATGAACCCAAAACATCAATATATAAGAAAAAGATGTTTACAAATAAAAAGTTACCATTTGTTTAATGAATACTGTATGCTGGCTATTTTACTTAAAAGTTATCTTGATTCTTAAAACAAATCTGCTTGGTGACATCTTCATTTTACAGATAATGAAACTGAGGCTCAGAACGTGCAAGAACTGTGCATAAGCTTCTTTCTTGTCTCTTCACAGGGACACTGTATTAGTTCCCTATTGCCGCTGTAACAAATTGCTACTTAAAACAACATAAATATTTTCTCATGTGCTTCTGGAGGTAAGAAGTCTGAAATGAGTCTTAAGCGGCTAAAATCAAGAAGTGAGCTGGACTAGTTTCTTCTAGTAGGCTGTAGGGAAGAATTCTTTCCTTGCCTCCCTTAGAATCTAGAGGCTGAGGCTGGCATTCCTTAGCTTAGACTAGAGAGACCTCTGTAGTCTCTTCCATCATCACATGACCTTCTCCTTTTCTGTAATCAAATCTCCTTCTGACATTTGTGATTACAATGGTCTCACTTGGATAATCCAGGATAATCTCTCCATTTGAAGATCCTTAATTTAATTGAGTCTGCACAGTCTCTTTTACCATGTAAATTAACATATTTTCAGGTTCTGGGGATTAGGATGTAGACATTTTTTGGGGGGTCATTATTAAGCCTAAGGAGCCCTGGCGACACAGTGGTTAAAACAGTTGGTTGCTAACTAAAAGGTTAGCAGTTTGAACTCACCAAGTGGTTCAAACCCACTAGCCACTTCGAGGGAGAAAGGTGTGGCAATCTTTTCCATGAAGATGTACAGCCTTTGGAAACCCTACAGGGCAGTTTTACTCTGTCCTATAGTGTCACTATAGTGAGTCAAAGTTGACTTGATGGTGATGGGTCTGGTTGTATTATTATTATTATTTGGTTTATTATTAAGCCTGCCGCAGACACTATTGACATTTTTGGTGAAACAAAAATTCTTTGTGTGAGATAGCCTTACACAGTGAGGGATTTAACATCTCTGGAGCCCTCTCACCAAATGCCAGGAGATCCTTCTTACCCACCTCCCCACACACACCCAAACACCAGTGACTGTGATAACCCAAAATACGCTCAAATATTTCTAAATGGCCCTCTCTGAGAGACATAGTACCACTCTGGTCAGTGGTAGGACTAGGTATTAACCTAGGTCATTTGATTCTGAATCCCTTTCCACTAATACTGTGTTACTATTTGTGTTGTTTTTTTTCCCCTAAGTGTGGCATAATAATAAGATTATTGTAACCATTTGTGCTGAGTACTTTAACATCACTCAAGCCACATGACTGATGGGACATTGTAAATCAGTGGGTTAGGGTTTCACATCCTCTTTCTTTTCCTCTCCACAGAATACCTTCTATGCAAATGTTTAGCTTCTGTTTCTTTGTGTCTAGTTAAAGCTGGCTCACTTATAATCTAAATGTCTCATCTATATGAAATTCAGTACTACTACGTGAGTTCCTCTGTTTTTCTAAGATTCGAGAAAAATTATTGGCGAAGACTTACTTCTACCCTCCCATTCCTCAGGAACTTATTTTTGCATCTCGTCTTAATCTGGGTGTAAATGTTCTTGTGTGTACAAAAATATCTAATGCAGGGATGGTGAAGGTGTGAATTCTAGCCAGCAAGCCACACAAGCAAATAAATTAGCACTTCACAAAGTGTCAGGATGTGTGAGAAGAATTGTTTTGATGGCTATCAGTTTAAAGGTTATCTAAACAAAGTGATGATGATGATGGTGCCAATGATTGAGCAAACATTGGGAACTAAACTGGCAGAAACTATGAAAAAAATTCCCATTATAAGCTATTTCCAGCCTATCAAATTAAGGAACAATTCATGTTACTTGATATTTTTTATTCTTGTTTACTCTGAGATGCTTTAGATTCATATAAAAGCACAATTCAGTTAGAATAAAATTGTGGGTATAAGTTAAAATAATTATAATTAAATATCTTAAAAATATTAGCCACAGATAGAAAGAAATGAGATCTGAGTAGTAACAATTTAAACAAAAACAGAAGGTGTTAGTTGGTTTATAAAACCTACTGACAGCAGGCAGTTTGTTATTACATTAGTAAAAACTTTTGTGTTTTGAGAGGTTCAAAGAAAACAGAGATAATGTGATGTTCTGGGCTTTATCTGACCCTGGACAGCTCTTCCTACATGTAAATGATTGACATCTTTCTCTTTCACAGACTGTTATGTGGCTGTTTACTCACCAGGTCATTTCTTTCATCTACTTAACATTCAACATCCAGACTTCATCTGTCACAGTCTCTTTCTGATAGGTATGGCTGTAGTTTTTTTCCCTATGGGTATTTGGGCGTGTTTTGATTTTGATATTTATATATTGGATGGGATGGAGTTTTGTTGTTGTTACATTTACTGATTATTATTATTATTATTTTGGCCAGGAGAAAATGAAATGATTGATATACTACCTCATAGTCCTTTACAGTCACTGTCAGGGTCCCTGGTACTGGACTGGAGTTCTGGCAAGCTCTACAGAGTACACCTCCACCAGTCATGTTTGTTACAGTTCCTGTGGAACAGCCCCCTGGACTATGAGAAGATGGCCGCATTGCACGGTCTGCTCTCCTGTCGCGGACACTCACAGTTCCTGGAAGCTCAGGTGGGAATATAGTATGAGTTTAAAAACTGGCAAATAGACACCACCAAGAGGATTCATTTAGTGAGATCAAAAGAACAAAAAATCCAAACCCATTTCTGTCAAATCAATTCAGACTCATAGTGACAGAGTAGAAGTGCCCCATAGGGTTTCCAATGCTGTAATTTTTTCAGAAAGGAGCTCTGGTGGTGTAGTGGTTAAAGCATTTGGCTACTAACCAGAAGGTCGGTGGTTCAAACCCACTAGCTGCTCTGCGGAAGAAAGATGAAGCAGTCTGCTTCTGTAAAGATTTACAGCCTTGGAAACCCAACTTGATGGAGGTGAGTTTGGTTTGGTTTAATTTTTATGGAAGTAGAATGTGACAGCTTTCTCCTGCAGAGTGACTGGTGGGTTCGAAATAACCTAAAGGTTAACAGTGAGTGTTTATCATTGTGCTACCAAAGCTCCTTGAAAAGAAGTTATTTTTATGTGGTAACAATTGAGGTTTATAGTCTCTGTTCTGACTCAAACATGTTCTTTTCCTTTATTGTGGATCCCCACCAGACATCAAACTGTGAGGGCATGTCTGTCCTTTTGAGTGCTCTTTTCTTACTGTGAATAATATTTAGCCACATCTGTAATATTCCAAAGAAGTACTCAGCAAATAATGAGTTTCTCAAATTTCCTACTTTTTCTCCTGGTCTGCATTCAGTGTATGCCATCAAAAGGACTAAAATGTGGTGGCAGGCATTCATTACTTATATCAGTACAAATACTTTATATTTGAATTACACATAATAGCTTACAAAGTATTTCAGATACTCACTGTTGTGTAATTTTTACAGTAGCCTTGTGAAGTCCCAGAAATTCTCTTATCAAACTTGATTGGGACAAATGGGTCATTGATTAACTGAAAAACAAAAGGCCATTTTAAGCATTTTATTTTGACCTAAAACACATAAATGTACATTTATTCACCTATCTTTTGATGTAGAGAAAGGCTCTTTGAGTGTGTGTGCATCAGTTGACTGTAGTTCAAAATTGTTTTTCTTGCATAAAACCACTAGTAAAGTATTATTTCTGACTTCCTGTTACTTCTTCATTTTCATTTTTAAGGAGAATGATCATTTAAAAACCCTTCCAAAGCAATCTCTATATAGGATCTCTGTAGACTCTGACATTTTTTCCCCAATCTTTTTCAGTTGTCTCACCTACACCTTTTTTTTTTTGGTTAAGTTTTCTTTAGAGACATACCTTCATTGGTTCTGTCCAAAGTATTCAATTTATACTTTATTGACCCCAAAAATAGTTTCTCTTGCATGTTTTATTTATTTATAGTAATGTTTTTATCAAATTCCCTAATTGTGAAAATTAATACGACTAGCATAAACTTGTCTGGGAATAGAAACAGCTTATTGGCAGGAACAGAAAAATGATGGTCTTGGTCAGTACCAGATTCGGAGAATGAGGTGCTTTATTTCCCCAGGATTGATTTAGAGATTTGTTGATAGAACAAGGATTTCCCCCTCTTAAGTGAGCCCTGGTGGCACAAAGGTTATGTGTTTAGAACCCACTAGCTGCTTCAAGGGAGAAAAGACCTGGCAGCCAACTCCTGGAAAGATTACAGCCTAGGAAATCCTATGAGACAGTTCTAGTCTGTTCTATAGGGTCACTATGAGTCGGAAGATTTCATTTCCCATGGCTCCACAGTCAGTGCCCATGGAAGCAGCAGTCAAGCAATCAAAGGACATATTGCACTGGGCAAATCTGCTGTTAACAGACCTCTTTAAAGTATTAAAAAGCAAAGACATCACTTTGAAGATAAATGTGTGCCTGACCCAAGCCGTGGTCTTTTCAAGAGCCTCCTGTACATGTGAAAGCTGGACAGTAAGGAAGACAGGAAGGACTGATGCATTTGAATTGTGGTGTTGGTGAAGGATGTTGAAAATAACTGTGGACAGCAAGAAGAATGAACAAATATCTCTTGGAGGAAGTGCAGCTGGAATGCTCATTAGAAGTGAGGATGACTAGACTTTTCACTCATACTGTGGCCATGTAATCAGAAAATGTCCCTGGAGAAGGATATCATATTTGGTAAAGTAGAGGGTCAATGAAAAAGGGAACACTGTCAGGGAGATGGATTGACATGGTAGCTGCAATGATTGGCTCAAGCATAACAGTGATTGTGAGGATGGCGCAGGATGGAGCAGTATTTTGTTCTGTTGTATGTAGGGTTAGGGTTAGGGTTCTTGACGGCCCCTAACAACAGCAACGTAAGTCGGAATCAACTCGATGGTACACAGTAACAACAACAACAACAACCCCTCTTTTGGAGGGCAGTACAGTGATGCTCACACAGATTTAATGGTGTGACACTAATCACTGAGCTGGAATTCAAATACCTTGTCACCTGGACCCAAGCTTAGTGATTGGTTTTCGTGTTCTGCTGTGTCCTACAGTTCTAACTGCTGCATTACCATAACATGACCTCCTCTAGCAAACAAACAAACAAACAAATATTGGTTGAAGAAGATTTATTTGGCTCCCAGCCACGGGCATTTATTTTTAAAAATGTATACAAAAGGCCTCATTATAATACTGTTTTTACTCATACAGTCTTGCATTGTCTACCTTGAAAATAATGTAGAAGTGAGTGTACTCTTAGGTCAATCCAAGGTAGATATTTAATTAAAAAGAGTTACATATATTTGTACTTCTTTGGTGGTGGGGATTGTGGGGAGATCTAAATACCAACAAGTTCTGTCTTCTTACTTTTTGAAGATCATTCAGTGGATTTCTGAGAACATCTGTGCCCGCCATTCATTCGACCTCATTCAGGAATTTATAATCGGTAGGTGCTGCTGACATTGCATAGCCAGCTGGATCCTTGACCCTTCTGCCTGAGGGAAAGTCATACACTGATGATGCCTCCATCTGTCAAAATGCTGCTTAGGACCATCTTTTTTTTTTTTAATGTTACTGCAGTTAGCAGCTAATTAAATTTCATTCTCTTGTGGTTTTGTGAGAGGCAGTGGCTGTTAAGAAACTGATGAGATATAAAATGTGATCTTGATTCTGTAACCTTATTAGTGCTTTTTCAGTAAGATGTAACTTTATTAGCTCAGTTTTCTGTTGGCTGGTTCTATATAAAATGGTGTACAGGTATCCCAAACTGTTCAAAAGGTTGCTGTACACCACTTTGCTCTTACAAAAGACCTACATTAATACCGGTTTTTGCTAACCAAAAGAAATCCGAGGAGGATTTTTGCTTTTATGAAGAAAGGTGAAAGGTAAAACTAGCATTCAGCCTTTGTCTTGCAGTGAGCCATTAAAGAGGCAGCGTACATCCCAAGGGAAAGTGGCACTGTCCAGCACCTTCCCTGGGAATGACACTGTACATACATTATTTCCACTTTATATAGGCTGTGTATTTATCTTTCCATTCTGCTTTTATTTATGTGTTATTTTAGGTTTTATATGTTATTTGGTATGATTTGGTTAGTTATTTTTTGGCTCTGGGAATGGGCAACAATATTTCCCAAATAAATTAATAGTAATTGCTTCTTTGCTTTATGCCATTTCAGCTTACAAAAGGTTTCATAAAGAATGCTGTATTTTCAGGTAGTGGGTGGGGAGAAACCTGTAGTGTCATTTGGGTAGCTAAAAATTGCCAACTACATCTTTTGGAAATTTTTCCCATCATAAGAATGGAAAAATAAAAATGCAGAACTTGAACATCTTAGTGAGTAGTTAAAATCTCAGTATTTAACCTTTTGAGGATGATGAAGGAAAAGGCAATGAAAACTTTTGTTGGTTTGCTCATTTTTGGTGAATTACAGTGTTGACTGCCTTACTGTTGTTAATTTCAATTTTCTTGCTTTTTTAGAACTAAATATAAATTATACTTTGTCAAATATTTTTACAATTTAAGGATTTAGCAGCTATGGAGTCTTTTAAACTTACTCTTTTTATTAAACCATGCCTTTTTTTTTTCTTTCAAAAATGTACTCAGCTTCTTCATATTGGAGCATATATCCAGAGATGAGTAATGTAGATAAACTTCTGCCATATACCTCAGTGCTCACTTGGAATACAGTAAGTTAGCACTTTGTGCTGTGTATGCAGTTAAGATGGATTCATCACCGTGGGTCAGTTGTAGCACATTCCTGTCACCAAGTTGTGATTTCATTTCTGTGTTGATCTATAAGGAAGTAAATTGGAATTCTCTCTTTCTCTCTCTCTCTCTCTCTCTCTCTCACACACACACACACAAAGTGAATCCCCTACCTTTGGCCAAAGGTATATACACATATATACAAAGGTATGTTGTTGTTGTTGTGTGCCATAGAGTCAATTCCAATTCATAGTGACCCTATAGGACAGAATAGAACTTCCCCATAGGGTTTCCTTGGTGTAATCTTTCTGGGAGCAGATCCCCAGCTCTTTATTCTCTGGCAGAGCTGTGGGTGGGTTCCAACTGCTGACCTTTTGGTCAGGAGCTGAGCCCCTTGCCCATTGTACCACCAGGGCTTCTATACAAAGGTGCACAGACAGAACACAGTGGAATAGGAGAAAGTACAGGACATTTGTTTCTTTCTACCAGACAGAACTAAATATACATCATCTCCAAATGGTATTTTAATTCTTTTTAGTTGCTGGAGTGGATTTGAAAAAAACACCAGTTTCATTTTTTCCAGGATTTTGTAAATGATGAAAGGCTGGATCACTGCTCTTATTCTGAGCTGTTCTACTACTGTATAGATTCCAAACCAAATCAAACTCTACATGGAGTCGGATCCAACTCATAGCGACCCCTCCTTGCCTATCCAGGTGGTATCACTACAGAGGTAGATTGCCCAATCTTCCTTCCAAGGAGTGGCTGGTGTGTTTGAACCACCAGCCTTCTGGTTAGCAGTCATAACCTTAGGCACGAGGCCACCTTTTGTAAGTGATGACAGGCTGGATCACGGGTGTTACTCTGAGCCGTTCTACTACTGTACTACTGTGTAGATCAGCACCTTCATTTCTCCAGCCTCATAAAGAAAGTTGTAATGCTTCTAGAGCTTCAGGATCAAGTTAGCAATTTTAAACAAACTCACTCATAGGAAGTGTTTTCTTCCTATCAGTTCAGACTCCCTCCTTTTAAATTAGAAAGTGCTGAGCTCAGCCATTGTTTGTTTTCTCTTGAACATGGTGCAGTAAACCATGTTTTGTTGGAGCAGCCCATGAAAACCATGTATAAGGCTGCCTCTGACAAAGCTGCTCCTCTTCTGTCATGTTAGATGTTAGAACTGCAAAGTAGTTTTAAGGCAGAGTTTTGTGTTATTCATAGTTTTACAACAATTAGACATAAAAGAACTACTGAAATGGTAACCAACAAAGTCATGTGCTTAAAAACAAGCAAACAAACAAAAAAAGGTGTCCAAAAAATAAATTTAAATAACCCAGACATAGAAAAAAGATATACTAGATAAATTACAACAGTTCCCATGTTGTATTTAGACTACTTCTAAATATAAACCCCAAACCAAACCCACTGCCATTGAGTTGATTCTGATTCATAGTGACCCCCATTGGGTTTCCAAGGCTGTAAATCTTTACAGAAGTAAATTGCCTCATTTTTCTCCCACAGAGCAGCTGGTGGGTTTGAACCACCTATCTTCTGGTTAGCAGGCAAATAAATGCCTTACCCACTACATCACCAGAGCTCCTTATTTTAGCCCTTAAAAAAGTAGTATCATGGTTTTTTTTTGAGGTACGATAAAGATCAAATTAATTTGTAAATTTTTGGTTCACACAATATTACTGTTTTGTTAAAGAGTCATTCCTTCTTATCTTTTGCTATTATAGTTACTGAACTTTTATGAAGTGTAAGGAAAGATCTAAGCTTATTCTTCTCCAGGCTGCTACTTTTGTCTTTAAAGACAATTGCGGCTGTACAGGCAGACACTGTGGTAATGTGGCAGGAAGTTTTCAGGTTAAACCACCTGGAGTCAGGAAATGCACATCTTGGCTTCCTTCCTCTACCACCCAACGCTGTTGTGCTATGTGTTAAAACGGCGTCCAGGAGGCAGGGCTGGGTCCACCAGTTCCCGGCATTGTGTTTAAAGATGGAGTACACGTTAATTGGGTGTCCTGTAAGTGTCATCCTGACAGGCAGTGCTTCACTTTTGTATTTCTCACGACTTTGTAGAGCAGAGGAGCTGTGTGGATATATACTGAGTTACACCAGGAAGTCCTGCAAGAAGTGTGGCATAATAAAAGTACAGCTATAACCACCGTGCACTGTGCTTATTTTAGCGTTTACCATGTCACTTTACACTTCCTGCAGTTAGAGTTGGTTACCTTAAAGGTCTCTTATAATTTTGAAATTCTATAAATCTATGCTTATCTTTAGTAATAAGGTAAATCATTTCCTTTTCATTTCATTGCTTTTAATGCTACATCTTTAATAAAATCTTAACCACAATAGAAACATTAGTTTCACACCTCTTCTGTATGGAGACAGATTATTTCTGTAAATAACTCCATTGGATCTTTTAAGATACTAGAAAGTACTGTGCCCTTACACATAAATGTAAGATAATCCTGAAGTATGTTTTGCAAACAGCCTTAGTTTGCTGATTTTGCTACTCTTAACCTAAAGTTATAGTGAAGTATCCTCCATATGTGACACTGATATGTGATGCACACTCAAAACCCAAACCCAGTGCCATCGAGTTGATTCTGACTCATAGTGACTCGGGGGGGGGGGCAGAGTAGAACTGTCCTACATGGTTTCAAAGGCTGTGAATCTTTAAGGAAGCAGATTGACACATCTTTCGTCTGCAGAGTGGCTGATGGCTTTGAATTGATGACCTTTTGGTTAGAAAATGAATGCTTTAACCAATGCACCACCAGAGCTCCTTAGTGAACCACACAATAGATCATTACTTAAATATATTAAAAGAGTTTCCCATTCAACAATTTATACACATTTTGTTTCATGACATTGGTTGCAATTCCCTCACTGTAACAGCATGCTTCTCATTTCTTACTTGGCTTCCCCGTTTCCATTTGCCCATCTCTCCTGCCTCTTCCTGCTTTCTGAACTTTGTTTTTGGCAAATGCTGCTTTTTTGTGGTCTCATTATTGATTGTTCTGAGGAGCATGTTCCTCATAGGTATTATTGTTCTCTTTATAGGCTTATCTGTTGTATGGCTGAAAGGTAATCTCTGGGAGTGGGTTCAGTTTCAGGTTTGAAGGGTATCTAAGGACCACAGTTTTGGAGTTCCACCAGTGTTTATCCGATCAATATGTCTGTTCATTTTTATGATTTTGAATTTTGTTGTACATTTTTCTCCTGTTCTGCCCAGGACCTTATGTTGGGAACCTGCTCAGAGTGGTCAATAGTGGTAGCTGGACTCCAGGCTAGTTGTTCATGTGGTCCGTTAGTCCTTTGGACTAATTGTTTCCTTGAATCTTTGATTTTTTTCCACTCTTCTTTTCTCCAGAGGGGCAGGGACCAATAGTTGTATCTTAGATGCCACTTGTAAGCTTTAAGACCCTAGTCGCTACTCACCAAAGTAGGATGTGGCACATGGTCTTTATGGACTGTGTTATGCCTGTTGATCTAAATGTCCCCTGAGACTATGGTCCTCACACAAATAGATTATTATTGCACATTTTGTACTGTCACATGGTGAACTCAGTTGCTTGAATGTTCTGAAAATTTATATCTCCTTCACTTTCCCTGTTTCACAGGCATATTGCAGATTTGTAAATTCCAGGTTATTTAAGATCGAACTAATTAACAGTTTTTATTTCTGCACAATACCTCTTAAACTATTTCTTCATATCTGATCTACTTTTTTAGTAAATGAAAGCTGAATTGCCTAGAAGAGAGCCTAATATATATAATTAACATAGAGACATGTTTTTCAAAATAACAGTGACTACACCACCAGAGCTCCCTTTTTGGTTAATGGGCAATTTTGGAAGTCTGTCCTTTATTTGAGAAGCCCTGGTGGCAGTGATTAAGCACCTTGCCGGTAATCCAAAGGCTGGTGGTTCAAACCCACCTGCCCTCCATGGGAGAGTGATGTGGCGGTCTGCTTCTGTAGAGATTTATAGCCTTGGAAACTGTACAGAGTAGTTGTTCTCTGTCCTATAGGGTCTGTAGGGTCACTATGAATCAGAATTGATGGTAAGGGGGTTGGTTTGTTTGGTTTGGTGGCATGAACAGTTAAGCACTCGGCTGCTAACTGGAAAGTTAGTGGTTCTACCCCACCCAGCAGCTCTGTGGGAGAAAGACCATCTGGTTCTGTAAAGATTACAGTCAAGAACACCCATAGGGCAGTTCTACTCTGTCACATAAGGTCTTTATGAGTTGAAATCATCATGACGGACCTAGCAATAGTAACAGCATCCTTTGTTTGAATTTCTGTTTTAATGCTGATTAGTTAACAGAACATCATCATTTGGACTTCCTGATATGAACTGCACACCTTCCCACCTGCCCTGGTGACAGTGCTGCACAAACTCTGGGAGCTCTTAGCTCTGAAATGATGGTGGAGGATGAGGTGCAGAAAGATGTTCCTCTAAAATCATGGGAGATCCAATTAACCTTGTTTCCTTACCAGTGAGGAGAGGCCAACTATAATACATTTAGAGTGAAAGAGAAAAAGAGGGAAGAAGGAATGCAGACAATGGAACATTTCCCCTTATTATTACATTTGATGGTACAAATGTAATCGGGCTCATTTGTTCTTTTTTTTTTTTTTTATTAGGATTTGGGTGAAGATTTACAGAGTAAATTCACTTTTCATACAGCAGTTCACATATACTTTGTCTCATGTCATTGACCAAAATTTACAATGCAGCAGCTCCCCTCCCACTTCCTCCCCACAGTCACCTCCTCCCAGTGTCCATCCCTTCATACTCTTCGAGAGGCCCATTGTCTGCCAACCCTGTATATGATCTTGGATACACTCTCCATTTAGACATACATAATTGTTTAGCTTGTTCACCCATCTATCCGTCCCTATACCCATGTTTGCTTTCATTGACAACTCAGTATTGTATTTACAAAGGGGTTCATATTTGTTGTTTGTACTGCCCATGTAACTCTCTCTGTCTTTCTCATCCTCAATGCTGCCATATTGGTCACTCACATTTGGTACATTGCCCTTCTCTTCACCCAAATCAATATTTATCTCTATCTATCTAACAGCATTCCCTCCCCTTCCCTCCCACCCCTGGTAACCAACAAAGAAAATGTCCTCCAATATATAAACCTTTCCTTAACTTTCACAATAATGGACTAATGCAATATTTGTCCTTTTGTGACTGACTTATTTCGCTCAGCATAATGTCCTCCAAGTTCATCCACGTTATGCGGTGTTTTGCAGATTCTACATTATTCTTTAGCATTGCATAGTATTCCATTGTGTGAATGTACCAAAGTTTGGTTATCCATTCCTCAGTTGTTGGACATCTAGGTTGTTTCCAAGTTTTGGCTATTGTAAATAGTGCTGCGATGAACATCGGCATGCATATATCTGTTCTTGTTATGGCTCTCACTTCTTTAGGGTATATACCTAGTAATGGGATGGCTGGGTCAAATGGTATTTGTATTTCCAACTTTTTAAGGAATTGCCATACTGCTTTCCAGAATGGTTGTACCATTTTACAGTCCCACCAGCAGTGTATGAGAGTCCCAATCTCTCCACAACCTCGCCAGCATTTGTTATTTTCTGTCTTGTTGAACTTTGCTACTAGTGCTGGAGCAAGATGGTATCTCATTGTTGTTTTGATTTGCATCTCTCTAATAGCTAATGATCGTGAGCATTTCTTCATGTTTGTTGGCCGCTTGAATATCCTCCTTGGTGAAGTGTCTATTCATGTCTTCTGCCCATTTTTTAATTGGATTGTTTGTCTTTTTGTTATTGAGGTGTTGGAGTGTTCTATAAATTCTAGAGATAAGTCCCTTGTCAGATATGTTATTACCAAATATTTTTTCCCAATCTGTAGGTTCTCTTTTGACTCTTTTGGAGAAGTCTTTGGAAGCACATAAACATTTAATTTTTAGAAGGTCCCAATCATCTGGCTTCTCTTCTGCTGTTGGTGCATTTTGAATTATGCTTGGTAGTCTATTTATACCAAATATTAGGGCCCTTAAGTTTGAGCCTAAATTTTCCTTGAGAAACTGTATAGTTCTAGGTTTCACATTTAAGTCTTTGATCCATCTGGAGTTTGTTTTTGTGTGTGGTGTGAGGTACAGATCTTGTTTCATTTTTCTGCAAATGGATCTCCAGTTTTGCCAGCACCATTTATTAAACAAACATTCTCTTCCCCATTTAATGGATTTGGGGCCTTTGTCAAAGATCAGCTGACTATAGGTCGATGGATCTGGGCTCATTTGTTCTTAAATGGAAATGTGTAAAAACTATACTACTAGCTCTGTATATCTTCCTGATGGAGTCTCTTTCCTTTGCATCCTGTCATTTATTTTAATCATGACTTTAAAGAGTCTTTCCTTTCCTGGGGAAGAGATAGCCTGCATGCATTCGGTGTTATTTATATACCTTGTGATTTATTTAAAGCAGAGGTCACCAAACTGGAAACTGCTCTCTGGGAGGGCTGCCATCAGCTTTTGTCTATGGGTAAAACACTTCCTGAAGGTCTTAGCCTGTGGTTGTTGATGCAGTTAGCATGTTGTGTGTGTGTGTGTGTTTCCTCACCATAGGAAATTCCAGGACTAACCCTTGTGACAGAAGACATCACGTTGCCTCTTATGAAGGTAAGTCCCTTATGGTGAGAGACAAAAACCCAGACATGCATGGCTTCCTTGCTTGCCTCTACACTCAACCCGGAGGTAAACTGTGGCCCTGAGTTTTGTGAGTTACAAAAGGGATTGCAAACGCCAGGGGAGGATTGGAGTCAGGGGTCAGGGTTGGTTCTCTAGAGAATCGTTCCTAAGTGGGTGAGTGGCCACTATGTGAGTGCCTGCATGGTTAATGTGTTTGACTGCTAATCAAAAAGTCAGTGTCTTGAGTCTACCTAGGGCTGCCTCAGCAGAAAGCCCTGGTGATCTTACATCTGAAAAGTCAGCCATTGAAAATGCCATGGAGCACGGTTCCACTCTAACTGCATGGGGTTGCCGTGGATCAGAATGAGCTCGACAGCAACTGTTTTAGTTCTGGTTTTACTGACTGAATATGATATTATGGCCATTCTTAAGAATGTTCTTTGGCATTTTCTGGAGATAGGAGAAAATTACAGGGTTCCACTTAAACCATACAAACTACTACTTGCCACTGTCCCTCAAACCAGTCTGTGCTAGAAATCTTGTAAATCATCTTTAGAGGGCCTGGTAGGTGTGTTTACTTCATTTGTGCTGTCACTCCCACAGCACACACATACCCTGCACACGCATGCATGCACACATACAGACACATGCACTCATAGGCATCGATCTGAAAGCCATTCAGTAACCTGGGTTGGGATTATCTAATTTCCTTCTGGTTCTAAGAATAGCTTTTCTGTTTCCCAAGAATGACTTGTATTGGTTCACTATGTGGTCTCAGTCAAGCTTCTGCACACCTTCTTCCTGCCCACTGAGCTGTAGTTACTAGTGTTTTTCTGCAGTCTGGTGGTTTCAGAAGAGTTTGTGAGCACAATAGGGAGAACAGGGTGGTGTGGGGTTAGTAGAGAAGAATACGTGTGTAGTTAAAAAAGGGGAGTATTTGAGCATAGCTTTCTTGAAGCGCCTTTGTTGTTTCTGGCACTACCTTCTGTTAATTATAGCTTGGTGTGTACTGGGAAATCTCAACGTTTGTCAGCAGACAGCTCCCTGTGCTGCTTGCCTTTTATTTACATTCGATTTCTTTGGACATATGGAGGCCAGGCCTGGATGCTGGGGGAAGCCGTGGGCATTTGAGGTCACAGAGATGCATTGGGGGTGAGAGAAGGCAGATGGCAGGGATTAGTAGTCTGGATTTTGATCCCTGGGGAGTCCCGTACAGATACATGGATAAGCCATGTTTCTAGACAAAAGTGTCGGACCACAGTGAAGATCTACTAAAGTAGTAAGATGAAGGGGATATGAAGCGTTTTAATAATAGTTTAAAAGCTTCTTATTAAAAGAATCCTTTCATTTTATCATTTCTGCTTTTATCACTGTCCCTGCCAGACCCATAATATATTTAATGGATAAATAGCAAACTAGTGAAGAAACTTTTAAGAAATGTCACCCACAGTTCTACAGTTCCTGGCATGTGAACTATCTGTCTTCCCCCATTTCCTTTTGGTCTTTGTCATAGGTATGTATATTTTACCTAGCTGTAGTTGTGATCTAGAGATATTTAATAAAAGTATAAATTATAATATATCAAATAGCTGTAATGTCAGTCATGTGTCTGCATAGACTTTGCAATTATGATTTCTAATCTCTGCATAGGATTTCACTGTGTGTACTGCTAGGACTGGCCTTGGCCTTAGGAGAGGATAGCAATGGGTTTGGTTTGACCAGAGTCCTCCACCCCCACCCCCACCCCGACCCCACCCCACTCCATCCCCTCCCAATCACTCAGCACAGTACCTAATCAGTACCTTCTAGCTCACAGGACACCTGATCTTGATACCTTTTCCCATCATTGCTTGCATCAAGTCATTCACTTTAAGCTTCTGCCTTTGCCTTTGACCTACTTCTTCTACCCCAAGTCCCAGCTTAATTAGTTTGTGATGGACCCAGTTGCAGTGGCACATCTCACTCCCTGCTCCTCCCCCCCAGCCCCAGTTAGGTGGCTGTTCTTGCCATGCCTATTTGCTAACGTTGGCTGTGACTACTCATGACCTGAATTGCAAGTTACCTTTAGAAAGTGTGATTGCTGCCAGACTCCTTCCTTGTGGCCCGCAGCACCCCTGTTGATGCTGACCACATTTGCTTTGATCCTGCTCTGTAAGGAGTTAGGGTAGGTAAGGGCAAAATGAAACTAGCAATGCCCTTTCCTCCGGCTCACTCTGCAAATAATTTTAATGTGAAGTGGAGCACTTTACAAATGTTTAATTATGAAAATGTTAGAGTGAGTAAACCACTTAGATTAGAAGAGTGTCACCTGAAAGACAAAAATCATTCTCACTCATAAAATGATTTCCCGAAGCATTAAAGTTAAGCAACAAGCAGACAGAAGCAGAGTACTTGAATTAATAGGAATGTCATCAAGAGCAATCTTCTGAAGCACAGTTTTATCCCTTCAGAAAGCATGAGTTGCCCTGGGGAAGTGGCCGCCCTTGATTTTTTACTGAGAAGAGAACCATGAAGACTTCCAACCAAGGAAGCATTAAGAATTAAAATAAACAATAGAAACAATAACTTACTTGAATCTAAAGATAAAAGTTGAAGGAGCATGCTGTGAATTGGGAAATGGAGCATTTTTCCCCAGAGTATTTAAGTCAAACACCTTTAGTGTATTGAATCACTTGTTTAGAGATTATTAGCTACCTGACCCAGAAATTGAGAAGGTGAGAAAAACTTAAAGCCCTGCCCCACTTATGGCCACGCAGAAACCCCTGTGTTTCTGCAAATGTCTATTAGGATCTCAGTGCCCCTGAGCAATCAGGAAAAGGGTGAGTGATACCTGAGCTCTTCCCCATTCAGAGACTTATTTATTTAACTATTTGTTCACATAAAAAATGTCATCAATGTCCCTGAGCTGTAACTGTGGACATTGTTATGTTGGTAGATGTCTTGCTGTGTATGTCTTCACCACAATAAAAGTATATTAAAAAAATTAAAAAGTACTGTGAACTGGGAAGGCATGAGTATAATTAATTACTTAGTGAAGCACAAAAGACACTATTTTCCTTGATCCCTCTAATACAGATGACCACCATCACTTACTGTTAGAAATCATAACTATCAACATAATCATGATGTACTAGCTTACAGTTTTTAAAATTAGAATTGTGGCTTTCACAAAGATTTAGCATCACCAGAAATGTCAGTTAATTATGTGGGAAATAGTGATAGATTTTCCAAAGTTTAGCTTGTACATACATTTTTCTGGGACTGTGGGTTCAATTAATACTCTAAAGCATTGCAAAGAAACACGGCTTAGTAGAAATAACATCATTCTGGTGGATTCATTCCTTTAGAGCTGCAGGAACCTTCAGTCTACGTCCCAGATGGTGAAATTGGGGGACACCAGCTACTAGGCAACCCACCAGCCACTCCTCGGAAGGAAGGTTTGGCAATCTACTTCCATAGTGATACTGCCTCAGAAACCCAAGGAGGGGTCACTATGACTCGCATCCGACTTGATGGCACATAACAACAACAAGAAGCTACTGGGCTGTGCTGTTCCTGTTTATAGTTTTGTTTGAGGACAGAGTGTTTAATTCCTAAGGTTGAGAGGAGGGAGTTATCTTAGCATTGTGAGATAGAATAATTTGTCATATTTAGTGACTTCATTTTTAAAAATCCATCCCATTAAAAATGGCTAACAGAACTACCTCATTGGACAATGAAGGGGGGTTTTTGCTAAATGTTAGGGAAGAAAGAAATCCATTTATAAACAGGAGACTTTGCACTTGACAGTGTGCAATCCCCTTAGCAGGCAGGCTCAAGAGTTCCCAGGCTTTGATCCTGCCCACCATGGGTATTCTTGTTCAGAACATCTTAACTTAGGTGTATAGCTAGTTTTCTGGACAACAGTTAATGTGCTCATTGCTAATTGAAAGGTTGAAGTTCCAGTCTACCCAAAGGTGCCTTGGAAGAAAAATCAGCCATCAAAAATGCTATGGCACACAGCTGTAGTGTGACACACATAATGTCATCATGGGTTGGAATTGACTGGTTTTGCTTGTGTGTGTGTGTGCTGGAGACAATGGGTTGCAGTATTTCTTTGGCCTGCAAGTAAAAGCCAATCTGGGGATGGAATCCACTGAAGAGCCAAATTGTATTGATGCTTTAGTTCTATTAGTTCAGTGCTGGCACACAGAGTAAAGAGTTTTCTTCAAGTTGGTTTCCTCCCCTATAAGAAGATGCTGGTTAATCAGCAGAAGTAGAACCAAAGCCAGCAGGCCTTTTAGAAATGAAAGGCAGATGTATTTTCCTGGCAGTAATTTGCAGATGAGTGAGTGCCACAGTGCTTTTTTTTTTTTTTTTTAAAGAGATCATCTGGCAATCCAAGTCCTAAATAAAAAACAGTTCCTTAATATGGAACCCTTTGTTCCTTTGTTAATTCATATTTGTAGTAAACTGCAGTTGGTAACTGTTGCTTGTCCCTCTAAATGACCAAATGAGATTATTTCTGAAGAAGAGACTTGAAATAATTTTTCTTCTTTCAAATTCAAAATTTGAAACTCCACTTTTTGCAGAAAAATGTCTCTAGGCGATTCCTTAAATATCTGATTGCTTCCAATACCAGAAAATCCATTGCCGTTGGATTGATTCTGATTCCTATTGACTCTAGAGGATGGAGTGTTTCCAACAGGGTTTTGAACCAGTTCATTCTGGTTTGACCCCTTGCTGAGAATTTGCATTTGTACCCCAGATATACTGAATTAGAATATAGAATTTAACAATATCCCCTGGTGATTCTTCACTTTGGTGAAGATTTACAAGGCCATAAATCTTTATGGAAGGAAACTGCCACATCTTTCTACCACGGAGCAGCTGGTGGGTTTCAGCTGCCAGTCTTTTGGTTAATAGCCAAGAGCTTACCTGCTGTGCCACCATGGCTCCTGATCTAACACCAGAGTCTCCTATAAAAGATAAGTTTGTGGTTGTTTTTTTTTCATAAAGCATTATTTAATATATTACTTACAAAGTATATTATTGTAAGCATCACAAGTTTTTTTCTAAGTACCTGGCAAGGTGATTCTTGGCTTCATGGCTTCCACTTTACACTGTTGCTGTTCCTGGATGAGGACAGTACTCACCCATGTTCCATAAGGACTAGTTGACTGATTCTGAGGAAGAATTGTCTGTGTACTGAGGACCAGCCTTGGGCATAGTTGGTGAGGTGGTTTGCTTTGGCTGTTAGGATGTGATTGTATGGGTTACATCCTCCTCTCCTCATACTAGGTTACAACATCTCAGATTTTATCTTGGAGCCACTTTTATTCTCTGGGTTAACATCATGCTGGTGTTAATTTAGCATTTAAGATTCTTGCAGAGGCACCTTAAACCACCTCTTTAAACTTACCTCCTATTTAACAACACAATCACAAGTCTTCAGATAGGCAAGTACTTCATTAGCTTTTAAACAAGAGGTGTAGATTGAGCAACACATTAGATGGTGGGAGGGAGATTGACATTGCTTGGCCATGCTCAAGCAGTATTCAGCCCTAGCTGGACATTGGGATCACCAGGAGGAACTTCTAAAACTCAAGAGGCTCAGGTCCATCCAATTAAATCTCTAGGCATGAGACCCAAACCCACTGCCACCGAGTTGATTCTGACTCCTAGTGACTCTATACGGCAGATTAGAACTGCCCTATAGGGCTTCCAAGGCTGTAAATCTTTAGGGGAGCAGACTAGCCCCATTTATTTCCTGTGGAGTAGCGGGTAGGTTCAAACCACCGACCTTTTGGATAGTAGCTGAATGCTTTAACCACTGCACCACCAGAGCTCCTTGGATGAGACCTAGATCTAAGTTTTTTCAAACCTCTTCAAGTGGTTGCAATGGGCAGCCAAGGTGGGGAATCACACATTAGAGGTGGATATCTTCACCATGGAGTATGAATGAGCTGCTAACAGTTGTTTTCTCTGATCTCTCTAATGCTACCCCTCTGATCGAAACCCACAATCCTCAATATCCTTCACTCAGAGGATGCACCCTCCTTAGCCTTCACTCAAATCCTGTTTCATCTTTTGGGCCCAGGCTCCCAAAAAGACTCCCCGATTTACAATGATCTCTCTGAATCTATAACTTAAAGAAAAATTCATCACTTATCTAAAACCAAACTAAACTCACAGCTGTTGAGTCAGATCCGACTCATAGTGACCCCTCCTTGGGTTTCTGAGGCAATATCAACAGAAATAGATTGCCCAATCTTCCTTTCCAAGAGTGGCTGGTGGGTTTGAACTGCTAGCCTTCTGGTAAGTAGTCAAATGCCTTAGGCACTATGGTACCAGAGCTCCTTATCACTTATCTAAGAGGCCACTAATTGTTTTTATCAGTATACTCTTAATATCTGTATCATAACATCCAGGCCTGTGAGTTGAAATGAAAATATTTCTGGGACATTTAGCTAACAGGTCTTCTTACTTAAAAGTAAGGAGTTGTTTGTGAACTCAAATTGTTTTCTTTCTGAGTCAGTGGTTTTGGACTTCTTTGGACCATGGATTCCTTTGAAAATCCGGTGCAGGCTGTAAACCTTTTCAGAAAAAATGCCCATGTAAAGCACATTCAGTTTAACGTATGAACAGTGGGTTCTGGAGTCCCTTTGAGTCTGTTAGGATGGGATTGTGTGGTAAGAACTGTGCTTTATCTGGTTTTTTTCAGCTGAAAAAAGGTTATGAGGAATAGGGGAGTGAGGAGAAAGAAGGTATTTTGGGAGAAATTTTTTCTTAGGCACCACAGTGTGAGTGTGTCAGTTGGTATCTGACAGTGGGATGGCACTTGGCCTGAGGGGAAGGTTGAGACAGCAACTGGAAAGGCACCAGCGACCTTCCCTCCTCTCTCTTGTCCTGGGCAAGGCTTGGATAGACTGTGTCCTGAGACTCCCATGGCAACCCCCTCCCCCCAAAACAACAACAACAATGACAACAAAAAACACCCACCGAACCTGACCCATTGCCATCAAGTTAATTCCAACTCATGGCTACTCCATGTGTTTGGCAAAATAGGCACAGTTAATAGCTGAAATGGCCACTAGATGTCAGTAAAACACCAATTAGTAGTTACCCAATGTTAGCATTCAATTACCTTGAGCCCAAATATAAAATAGCAAGAAAGCTATAGTGAGTCCTCTCAGGAACCTGTTTCTGCCAAATGTTTGCAAGGTTATTTAAATTTTTTTTTCAATGCAAAGAAGGCCAAAGGGTGGTTAAAAGTCCATTTCTTATAAATAAATGGAAAGGGAAAGCAAAGGTGAGTGAGGTAGGTAGAGCAGGGAGTAAGACCTGACTCCAGTGTCCCTATTTCCCCTGGAGAGGACACTTTCTTGGAAAATGTTTTTCTTGCCTCCGGGAGAAGAGATGTTGGCTGGACAGGCATTTCAGCCTTCTAAAAGAGCAAGTTGTAATATTATTATGTAACTCATTTTACTGATAATCCAAAATCCATTTTGAACCAAATATCACTGAACCTTCAATAAGAATTTGGATAATATTATAGTAAATTACCATAACATGACCAACTAAAGAGAAGAGGGGAAGGGAAGGAATGACTTTATTGAGTACTTACTGTACAAAATACTAGCGTGTTTATGACTTAAGTGCTACTATCTAACTTAAGGTTATTTTTTAATTGAGGAGTATTTTATTTAGAAACTCTTTTGTCTTGCAATACAGCCAAGTCAACCACACAGGAGGCATTAGCTCACTTCAGTTTATGGCCACACATTGTACTCCTGGCCCCAGTCAGATCCTTTATAAATACACATATTTTGGCAAGAATGTATGTATCATAAATCTGTCTTCACTGATTTTTAAAAACACAACTGTGTCAGTTATAGTCTTTGACTATATTAAAAATATATTAACATTGTTTTGTATTATTTTTAAATGATATAATAGATAATTCTTGCTTCAGGGTAGTACAATTATGTCAATAATTCAAAGACCTAAATAGAACTGTTGCTGCTTTCTGTTTTGAATATTTGACAACTGAATGTGAAACAAGTTCATTTCACCTTTTTAATTACTTAGGTTTTTAAAAAATATATCCTTGGGAGTAAATAAACTTAGTGGGGAAAATAAGCCTACCCTGTGTGTCCCAAATTTTATGAACATTCTCTGACTGAACATGGCATTGTTGACACAAGCTAGGTCAGAAAGATGGTTCTTTGGGGAGGAAATGAGTTGGTATGTTTCATATAGGCTTCCTTTTAGCCTTAACCCAGGGGTAGGGGTTGTGATACTAGTTTCGGGAAGTGAGCAACAATTCTCTGTGTTGTAAAAGAGGGCTAGAAAATAAAGTGGGGAAGCCAAGACTCCTTAAGATTGGCACTAGAATGGCATCTCTTTGAAGTATTCACCTCAGAAACGTTGCCATGTAAGAGCTGTGGAAGTAAAGTGGACCCAGCTTTCCAGCAAGGCTTGCATGATCCTTGCTGGGTAGTTTGAGCCACCACACCTTTTACTCCAGATCACTGATGCTTTGGTCTCCTACAGGTGCATAGCTTTAAGGGCTACTGGGAAAAACTGAACTACAACCTAGAATTTGTGAAGTATGCCAAGCCACACATCCGCTATAACAACAACGTGATCAGGAGAGAGTGGAACAGCCTGATCTCGGAAGAGGTATGTGTAGGGTTTAGAACGAAGCAAGAAGCAAAAGCTTTGCGCGCTATCAGATGCAGGTGTTCCCCTAAAGCATAAGGGCAGTGCACATTTCAGCAATCTTCCCAACAGGCAGGCATTTTTACATTCTTGTTACTGACCTCTCAGAAGGTAGACAGAGGCCCTTCTATGATCTCTATCTGTTCTCCCAAGGAGAGAAGGTGAAAAACGGAAAGGCAGAGAGGTTTAGGGACAACACAGCATATTCACAGTAGAAATAGGATTATTTTCTAGGTCTCAAATGTGTTCTTTCATTACTTGTATAATTAAAAATTGGTTTTAAAAAAAATCTTAGGTGTTCTCAAATTAGTGGTTTCTAGGGCTGAGGGATGGCCTAGGGGTGAATGGGGTGAGTGTGAGTCTACAGGAGTAGCAGAAGGGGGGAGATTATTTGTGGTGATGGGATAGTTCCATAACTTGATTGTGGTGGTAGTTACGGAATCTACATATATGATCCAATGGTACTGAACTATGCACACGTATTGTATGGATGCCAATTTTCTGATTTTGATATTGTACTATAGTTAAGATATGACCATTGGGGAAGACTGGGTGAAGGGCATTTGGGATCTCTCTGTACTATTTTTGACACCTCTTGTTAATCTATATTTGTTTCAGAATAAAAAGTTTAAAAATTGTTTTAAAATCTAGGTGTTCTGATTATCTGGAAAGTACATTTTTTCATTCTGAAGCTCTTAACTAGATTGCATTATGTCCTTCATATGAAAAATGTCACCTACAAATCTACCTTTCACACACATGTTCTTACCCCTAGAAAACAGGAAAAAGGAGATCCACACCATATTTGAGGACTATTCTTGATAATGCAATAAAGTAAGTAAAATGAAAGCTTATGACATCTCTGAGGTTGTTATCTTTTATAATTACCTTGTTGGCTACCCTCCCTTTCATGGAGTAGCTTAGTTTTGTTGTGTATCCTCCCCAAACTGTTGCTCTCAGCTTAATGACTGCAGCCACTGCTGCCCTGTTCAGGATTGGCCTCTGTGTTCTTCAGGGGTTGTAGTGAGGAAAAGAGGGACTGTCCGTGAGGGGAGAAGTTCATATTTTAAACCTTACGGACCTCTACCCTGCACGGGATGATTTACAATAGTTCAGTGGTTAAAAAAAAAAAAAAAAAAAAACCAGTTTTAGGGAAGACAGACAATAGGCTGATTTAAAAAAATGGACTTTTTAACTTGCTCTTATTTTGAAAGCCTATTTTCTGGATAGATAAATCATCTAGAGCTAGGCCCCATTCCAACCTCTGTTCTATTTCTGTTCCCATTATGCCCAATAACTGAGAGCTGCAATTGTTCTAAATTTGTGCCGTCGTTAGCACTAAAGAGTTTTAAGATTTTATAATTACCTAATGTGGCTTTTGCCAAGTTGATTAAAATTTTTGAGGTTTTTAATGGCCTAAGAACAGTTTCGGCAGTGGTTTTATAGGTGTTTAAAGGAGGATATTTTGTATGGTTTTGTGGCATTGATTTTTTTTTTTAAATAATACTTCCTGTGTAAATAACATTGACTAATTTCTTTGTAGGGTGATTTCTAACCTAAAAGCAAGGAATTCGGGTAAGGAAAGACCTGTTGTAAAGCCTTCTAGTTTCAGTCAGTGTTTTGCTTTTAACACTGTTCTTCCTACCAGTGTGGGTTGGGGAGAAACTCACTTCCAATAGATGAAGTAGCAGCACCCTCAGTATTTTCCTGTTAAAGTGACCACAAAGCTCTTTCCATGTCTGTCTTGGCACCAAGGCCTCAGGGAAAGCCACTAAATGTGCTTTTGCTGGCGGAGTCCCTGGGTGCTGGCTCTCTGGTTCTCATTATTTCTCCTTCAATAGTTGGTCTATGTAGCGTGCCCTCTGGCTATACCCACAGAACCGTGAGCTTTGGCAACTCCCTTGGCCTGGAGCTACTTTCTCTCTAGCTCTCTGATCATACAGGGTATTTGTCTTGTATGCTTCTTTCTGTTTGCTTGAAATCTGGGCAGGCATCAGGCTAGGTCCTAGAAATACAAAGATGAGAAACCTGCAGGGAGCAGTGTGGTTAGGGGAAGCACATGGGCTTGGGAGTCAGAAAGAACTGGACTGAAATTCCAGCTCAACCATGTGCTCTTGGGCAAGTCATTTATCCCCTTTGTGTACCGTCTTCCTCAGGGCTAGAGTGAGGAGAAAATGAGAGTGAACAGGGCAATGTATATAGCACATAGCACAGTGCTTGGGGCATGTGAGGCAGCGGCTTTATCACTGATGCGTGAGGAAGATATCTTAATATATAATTTCAAAATGAAGTGACAGGTGTTACTCCAGGATGCAGGAGGTGTGGGGGTGCTTGGGGGGGGGAGGTCAACAGAGGTTTCCCAGAGGGGCTGATGTCTGAATTAAGTACTACCCAGGTGAGACTAGGAGAAGGGCCGGCTGAGCATATTCAGGTATGAGCCTTTTTGTGGTTGTCAGTGGAACTCATGTGTTTTTGATGCCTTGTAAAGGTCAGCCTTCATTTTTTTTTTTTTTTAAAGCTGTTGTTTTTATATCTCACTTCTATTTTGTGGGTGAGTGATCATATGGAAATGATTTTATATAGTACAATGCTGCACATACCACAGCTGCGCGCACAGCCACACAGGAGCCACGATGGTGAGCTTGTCTTCCTGCACTGGCCATTAGACCCCAGCCTCACTGAACAGCCCCATGGGAACCGGACTCCGTGGTGCAGAGCCTGAGCCCGTTCCTAGGCCTGTACACCAGATGGGCATGAATGTGTGATGAGGGTCACCTGTGTTGGTAGGGTTTTTATGGGTAGTGTTTAATATGGGTAATGTTGCTGGTCTGGTTGAGTTTTTGTTGTGTCCACCTCTCCTGCCCCCACTTACAAAGCTACCTCTGCAGCTGTATGCCAGGCCTGTTTCTACCTTATTATTGGTCATTCTCTTTTAATGCATGTTAAGAAACTTTTGCCCTTCCTCCCATGTGCTTTGCTTGTACTAGTTGCCCATGAAGAGAACTATTCCTGCCAGAAATGGAACATTCTAGATGAAACTCAGGGCTGCTGGAAACCCTATGGGGTAGTTCCACTCTGTCCTGTAGGTTCGCTATGAGTTGGAATCAACTTGATGGCAGTGGATTTTGTTTTGTTGGCTCAAGTCTTGAATCGTTTCATCTTAATCTTCAGGGTTGTGAAGGATGTAGATAGGATTTATCCTGAGGAGTGAAAAGATATCCATGCCCTTTCAGAAGGACTCATCAGATCACTGACCAAGGTGGCCCTGCCCTTTTGACCAAGTCATTGGGCAAGTCATTTATCCACCTTGTGCACTGCCCTCCTCAGGGCTAAAGTGAGGAGAAAATGTGAGTAAACAGGGCAGTGTACATAACACATGACACAGTACTTGGGACATGTGAGGCAGTGGCTTTATCACTGATGTATGAGGAAGATATCTTAACATATAATTTCAAAATGAAGTAGCAGGTGTTATTCCAGGATGCAGGAGGTGTGGGGGTGCTGGGAGAGGAAGGGGGGTCCGCAGAGGTTTCCCAGAGGGGCTGACGTCTGAGTCAGCACGAGCCTCAGCCATCTGGGAGCAGAAGAGCAGGAATGAGTGTTAGGGCAGATCCCAGAAGGACACCTGTGTTTGCCCCTTGAACTTTTCTAAAAATACCAAACCAGTGGATATCAAGTTGGCTTCAACTCATGGCAACTCTGTTGTTAGATGCTGTTTAGTCGATTTCAACTTACACTAACCCCATGTGACAGAGTAGATCTGCCTCATAGGGTTTTCCAGGCTGTAGTCTTTATGGCAACAGATGCCAGGTGGTTCTTTGGCAGAGCCACTGGGTGAGTTTGAACTGCCAACCTTTTGGTTAGCAGCTGAGCACTTAACCATTGTGCCAGTAGGGCTCCTTATGGCAACCCTGTTGTTATTGAGTATCATTGAGTTGATTCCCACTTAATAGCAACCCTATATGATAGAGTAGAACTGCCCTATAGGGTTTCCTGGGCTTTAATTGTTTTCGTTTGGTTTTAATGTTTACAATAACAGATCATCAGGTCTTTCTTCCTGTGGAGCCAATGGGTAGGTTTGAACCACTGAAGGTTTGGCTAGCTGCTGAGTGCTTAAATCTTTATGGAAGCAGACTGCCACATCTTTTTCCCATGAAGCAGCCGATGGGTTCAAATTGCCGACCTTTTGGTTAGCAGCTAAGCACTTAACCACCGTGTGACAGGGCTCCTTATAGCAAAAAAAAAACAAAAAAAAAACAACCCACTGCCATTGAGTCGATTCTATCTCATAGAGAGCCTATAGGACAGAGTAGAACTGCTCTGTGGGGTTTCCAAGGCTATAGATCTTTACAGAAGCAGACTGCCTCATCTGTCTCCAGTGGAGTGGCTGGTGGATTCCAATCACCAACCTTTTAGTTGTCAGCCGAGTGTTTTAACCACTGTGCCACCAGAACTCCTCATGGCAACCCTGTTTGTTGTTATTATGTGCCGTCAAGTTGGACCCGACTCATAGCAAGCCCTCCTTGCGTTTCCGAGGCAGCATCACTACGGAAGTAGATTGCCCCATCTTCCTTC